TGGGCCCTTGCTTTCCCCAGGCGTTTGGTTATTGGGTGACTGGTGTTTGCTGTATCACCCTAGAGTGGCTGGGGTGGGGGTGGGGAGGAACACACTGCTGGGTAGACATGTTCTGGACTTGGGGTTCTCTGTTATCCAGGTATTTCTAGCTACCCAGCCCTTTATCCTTTCTCTGGCTTTAGTGCCATCATTGCTGCCAGCCTGGAGGTGGATACCATTACTGCCTATCGTCTGGTCTGAGAGAAGGGAGGCGGCATCAGCTTGACCATTGTTTACAATCATGGTTCATCAATCAGTGGCCAGAAAGCTGTCTGAGAGCCCCTCCATGTGCTGCCTCTTGCCTTGGATACTTCTCTATAGACTCCCTCTTCCCAAGCAGGCTTGACCTATGATTTCCTTCAATCTGATTTTAGTCTAATCTGTCCCTTAAATTTTCCCAGTTTCCGAGAAATGGCACACTTTCCTACACTTTCCTGTTTCTCGGCATGCTGATTTAGACTTCAGTGTCTTCTGTATCAAGGCATTTGGACAGGAGGAGGAGGCAGGCTCACAGGCTCAGGCCACCATCTTTGTCACATCTCTGTAATCATCCTGATAACTAGGTCACCCTTAAAACCTTGACTCCTTGTGTGTTTGAAGGAGACAAACCACACAAGTGTGAGTTCTGTGACAAGTGCTTCAGCCGGAAGGACAACCTGACCATGCACGTGCGTTGCCACACGAGTATGAAGCCACACAAGTGTCACCTCTGTGACTATGCGGCTGTGGACAGCAGCAGCCTCAAGAAGCACCTGCGGATCCATTCTGACGAGCGGCCATACAAGTGCCAGCTCTGCCCCTACGCCAGCCGCAACTCCAGCCAGCTCACCGTGCACCTGCGCTCCCACACGGGTAAGTGCCCCAGCCAGAATCCTCCCTGCCCTGTGTTTCTGTAATGGCATAACCTTCCTTTAGGTAAGACGTAAGCAACTTCAGTGACCTGGTGGTTGGAATTCAGAACCTGTGATGATGTGGCTTGCTGAGGTTGACTTTGCCAAAACAACAGCTTGCAATAAAACAGCTGGGCTTTGTACTGAGCTAGATAGAATACAGGTGAGGATGGGTCCTCAGCACAGCAGCCAGGAGCAGAGGATGTATCACAAGTAAGAGTCTGAGGGCTGGGGAAGTAGCTCAGCAATAGAACAGTTGCCTAGCATGTGCAAGCTCCTGGGTTCGATCCCCAGCACTGCAAAAGAATAAAAGTCTGACCTATAAGCTAAGTGTTTTAGTTTTTTTTGTTTTTGTTTTTTAATATTCTGGCTATATGATGTAATTCAGGAATGTAGCAGTCAGTTGAATGTGACTGCAAATCACAAACTTCTAGTCCTAGAAAGCTTTTCCTTCCCTTTTTGTGGGATCCCTCTGAAATAATGCTAGCTGGATAAAACCAACCCATCATAGCCCAGAAAAATGAGGATTGGGACATTCATACCAATGTCACAGACATCATGAAATGTGAGCATTTTCAATATGTGCGGGGGAGATGGCAAGCTGATGGGCATTGCTAGCATTAATGCTGAGTAAAGAAAGCTGTTCCCAGTGGACAAGTGGAGAGTGACCTTCCCTGAAGTCTGAGTTCCCTGAGAGGTCCAGACCTGGATCTCTCATAGGTAGCCAGGCCCCAAGGCTCAGGGGAAAAGCAAAAGACTATTGGCAAAGCTGCAGGTGGAACCTCTATTCTTCCTAAACATAGCCAACCAAGGATTGCAAACTATTTGCAGAAAGCGAGTGCCCTGAAGTGTGCCAAGTCTAACAATTAACAAGTCCTAGAAGTAAGATTGTATTCAGGTAACTGGCAAAAATACAAACCTGTCCACCCACTGGCACAAATGTTGTGCCACATGGAGTTCTGCAAAGAGATACTGAGAACAAAGGCAGGAATTAAAATGAGAACTGCTAGATAGAAAGTTGACAAATTTTCTCAGAAACTAGAAAAGCAATGAGGTTAGAGAACTGAGAATAAGAAGCTGATTCCAGCTACTTGGGAGATGGAGACAGGAGGGTCATGATTTGAGGCTGGTCAGGGCAGAAAGCAAAAGGACTCTGGGCACAGCTCAAGTGCTTGGGCAGTAAGTCTAAAGCCCTGAGTTCAAACCCCAGTACCACAAAAAAAAAAAAAAAAAGCTGGCAGAGTGGACCAAGTGGTAGAGCACCTACCTAGCAAGCATGAGGCCCTGAGTTCAAACTCCAGTGCTGAAAAAAAAAAAATCAGCCAGGTGCTGGTGAATCACCCCTATAATCCTAGCTACTTGGGAGGCTGAGATGGCAAGGATCACAGTATGAGGTCAACCTGAGCAAATAATTCATGAGACCCCATCTCCAAAATAACCAGGGCAAAGTGAACTGGAGATATGGCTCAAATAGTAGGATGCCTGCTTTGCAAGGGCAAAGCCCCAAATTCAAACCCCAGTCCCACCAAAAAAAAAAGCTGAATTTTGGTTTCTCACTAAGTCTAGGAAGAAAACAAAACAGAAGAACATCAATTGAGAAACAAAAAAGAATGTCACAGTTCTAAGGGACCAGGAGAGAGAAAGGACTCCCGAGATGTCAGTTAGGATGAAGGGAATAGGGAGGAGACATCCACACCTAGAAAGGCTTCAAGATAGCACTGCTTCCTGGAAACAACAGAACAGCCTCAGAGATGGCAAATGATCTTGAATTTAGGGTTCAATCCCCAGTGAAACTATCTTGTGCACTAGACATGTACACCAGCACTCAAGACTTTCTTCCCAGACACCATAATAGAGATGAGAAGACATGCTCCAGCAAAGCAAGGGAGAAAATAAAACTGTCATGAAGTACTTGACTATGAGTGTGAGGATACAGCTAACCAAGTTACAGCAAAGAAAAGTGTTAAGATGACACCTGAACAGAACTGTAAAAGAAAAAAATTAAGTAAATCCGAAATTCAGAAAACCATAACAAAAAACTGCATGTGAGCTGGATGCTAGTGGCTCACACCTGTAATCCTAGCTACTCAGGAGGCAGAGAGGGGAGGAGCAGGGTTCAAAACCAGCCCTGGGCAAATAGTTCTTGAGGCCCTATCTTGAAAAACCCACTTAAAAAAAAAAAAATGTACATGAGAGGTTACGTAATTAAGAGAGTGGATGACTTCTGAGATTATGTGACTTTTTTCTCAAAAAATGTACAGTCCGTGACTTAAGTGGTAGAGCACTTGCCTAGAAAACTCAAGACTGATCTCAAATGACAGTACCACCAAAATAAAAAAATTAGGAAAAAGTAGTAATGCACAGTCCAATCAAGAAGCAAGTTAAACCTGTATGAAACAGAACTGAAAAACCTCTTGCAGTTGCTTTAAGTGGGGTGAGGAGGGGAAGAGACAAGGTGGCAGTGTCACTAATGTGCAATATTAGACTGTTGGGAACTGTCACTGCAAACCCCACCCCATGATGAATATATCCTAATAAATTATAATAGAAAAAAGAAGCTAAACTTGGTCCAAAGTGAGTATAAAAGGACAAAGAGCAATTTGACCTTGATGGCAGTGACTGTGGCCCTGTAAGAGGTGATGGTTATCCTGGTGCAGTGGTGTGGCTCTGGTGAATATCACGTCCTCAGTCCTATTTTAAATGACTTGTACTTTGATCCTGAAGTTGAAATCTGAAACTGACTAAAGTACGGGAATCACAGGGCAGAATGGAAGTGTTTTTGAACTTAGAATTAAATGGGGATTAGCATGAGGAAGAGAAGAGACACTCGGAGAACCTCTCTGACAGACTCAGGTGTGAGGCTCTTCACTTAGAAAGTGACCCGGGAAAACCAGGACCACCAGCTCCTCCGCAGCAGCACACAGGGAGTGGCTGGGGCTGGGGGTGTAGGATAAAGGAGGGACTTACCAACCGATGCCCACTTAGAGAAACAGCCCCCCAAATGCCTAGAAATCCTTAGCAAAGGACTCTAAGCTAGACAGGAGGGTATGGCATTTCATTACTTATCCCCACCCTCCTGCCATACATGTGTTAATTTTACAAATAAAATTCAATCTGTAGCTATAAAACAAAGAAACGTTAAAAAGACAAGCTGAGTAACTCATGTAAGTGACATCTCGCCTCTTTTTCCATGTTCAATGCTGGGACCTCCAATTAAATGACTGTTTAGATTTGAAACTCAGTCCCATCAAGAGTGTGGGTTAGGGGCCACAGTGCCTGAGTTCACATCCCCGATGCCTTGCCTCTGCGGGCCTCAGATGATGGTAAGTGGTGGTGTTACCAGGAAATTGCAAATAGTTCAAGTTCAAAGACCCAACAGTCTAACAAGCCAGGTGTGTGGTGCATGCTTGGGCGTAGTTCCGTGTTGCCTGCCTGCTCTAATGGACACACACCTTCCATTGCTAGGGGACACCCCCTTCCAGTGCTGGCTCTGTAGCGCCAAGTTCAAAATCAGCTCGGACTTGAAAAGGCACATGATCGTGCACTCGGGGGAGAAGCCTTTCAAGTGCGAGTTCTGTGACGTACGCTGCACCATGAAAGCCAACCTCAAGTCGCACATCCGCATCAAGCACACCTTCAAGTGTCTGCACTGTGCCTTCCAGGGCCGGGACCGGGCCGACCTCCTGGAGCACAGCCGGCTGCATCAGGCCGACCACCCAGAGAAATGCCCGGAGTGTAGCTATTCCTGCTCCAGTGCAGCCGCCCTGCGTGTGCACAGCCGGGTTCACTGCAAGGACCGTCCCTTCAAATGTGACTTCTGCAGCTTCGACACGAAGCGACCCAGCAGCCTGGCCAAGCACATTGACAAGGTGCACAGGGACGAGGTCAGAACGGAGAACAGGGCCCCACAGGGCAAGGAAGGACCCAGAGAGAGCAGCTCCCACCACGTGGCCAAGATTGTGACCCAGAGGGCCTTTCGCTGTGAGACCTGCGGTGCCTCCTTTGTCAGGGATGACTCTCTGAGATGCCATCGGAAGCAGCACAGTGACCAGGGGGAGAACAAGAACTCAGACCTGGTCACCTTTCCCCCAGAGAGCAGTGCCTCAGGGCAGCTGGGCCCCCTGGTCTCTGTGGGACAGCTTGAGAGCCCTCTGGAGCCCAGCCATGACCTCTAGTGCAACCACAGGGAACCCTCAGGATCCAGACAAAGCTGGTGCCAGCCCCCTCATTACCAGGCCATGTGGTGGGCTTTGGTCCTCAGTGCTGGACCTAGCAGCCCAGACTTCATGGGCCTCTGATGGCAGTAGTTGACATGTGAGGACAGACACCCATTCATAGTGCTGTCTTCCTACAAGATCACCTGAGCCTTGTGGCATGGGACCTCTGAGCACTGCTCTGCCAACAGGGAGAAATTCTTCACAGCGGATTTCGCTGGGTTAAAAGTAACCCATTTCTGATGAGTTATTAAACTAGTTAGACAACATAGATAAAACTAACTGGTCTGTGTAGTAGGAAGGGTTAAGATGAGGATGGGGTCCATGGAGGCTTGGGTGGCCTAGAAAAATTCTGATTCTTAACCTGGGTGGCGGTGGAGTATTCACCTTATACATTTGTGTGGTTTATTTTCTGTTTTACAATAAAAAGGAAAATTGTCTGTAGAGTCAGGTAAGAGGAACACTCAATTTTTCCTTACATTTCTGCATGGACAGGGATGGTAAGACATTTTTTCTCCCCCATCCCTACCCCATTCAGTAACTTAATTATAAATAAATCTCAGGATTTTTTTTTTTTCAATAAGTTGGTTCCACACTGAAGCAAAATGCAGTTTGGCCTGCAGGTGGCGCCAAAGCTCAAGCTACCGCTGGGCCAGCATGCACTTGGGTGTTACAGATTTGAAATGCAGACACTTGTATTCAGAAAGAGAAGTAACCGGGTGAGCTGGGTCTGCGTCTGGGATGTGCGATGTGTGAAGCCACCATCATCTTTTGCATCACAGAGAGCTCTTAGCGTTTGCTGAACAGCACTCAGTGAAAATCTCACATTCTGGTAAATGGCTTGGCCTCAAACTCCTGGACAGAGTTGCTGTCTTTGTTCTACATTGATGTATTTTGTTCAATTAAGTCTTTGTTTAATATAAGTTAAATTCTATGCTACACAGTTACGCTTTTGAAATGGACCAAGTGGATCTATCGTTGATCTTAACGTGACAAAATTTTGTAGGCTGAATACTGGGGACTGTTTCACTTATGAAATAGCACGAGGTATAGCTTATTTTATGAGCGTGATTTCAACAAACGTGACTCCGTTAAGTTCAGCAGGTGGGTGAAAGCATATGTTGGGCCTCTGGTGTAAGAAGCAAAGATGAGCCTGGTGGGCCACCATGGCCTGGCTTGGGGACCGTTGTTTTTTGATCACACACATCATGGGCTAAACCCCAGTACTGTTGTACACTTTCTGTTGTCCTCGCTGTCCTGTGTCATGACTCTTATTTGAATTTCTAGAAACACAAAAGGTTATTGGCCTTACAAGTGGGAACTCCTAGACAAACACCACACAACCATCCATTTAACTTCTGGTGCGAAAGCTCTTCGGATAAATGGGAATGGTATCGGCCTTTTTAGATGTTTTTGTGAGCAGCTGTGAGAACCTCAACGGCCTTAAACCCAATCTGGCATCATTTAGCAAGTTTGGATTCCCAGTGGAACAAAGGTGAGCAGAAATTTTGGGGCCAGATATTAAATATCGTAGGCATTGTGGGGCTAGGAAGTCTTTTGCAGTTTTAGCACAGAAAGCAACCAGGGACTACATGAAAAAGAACATGCACACCTGTCCAGACAGTGTTTTGAGCTGAACTGACAACGTCTGGAGAGCACACTGGAAGAGGCCAGACTTACCATCAGAGACATTCACGAGAATAGGCTGAGAGAATAAGGACTGTTTAAAATAATACTAATTAAATTTTAAAAGGGAATTTCAAGACTGGTGAGAACTTGTGATTTGGAGGAAAGTGAGGAAAATCTAACTTCAGGAAACTTCAAGGAGTTGGTGTGGGTTCACCTGTTTTATTAGAAGGTGGCCGTCACTGGGGTTACAGAAAATTGTCCAGGACCTGGAGGGTGGCCTGGCTAAACCTACTTCAGTGACATAATGTATGCAATCACAGAATAAAACTGGGGAACTGCTTTCACAGCAGAGGGCTGCAAAATGACCCAGACAGCTGTTCTATGCCAGCCCCCACTAGTAGAGCGGATCTGGAAGAGGAAATTGATGAGTGTTTTTGTCATTGACTTTACTGGGCCAGGCTTTGGCAGGCTTTTTTGGGAAAGGAACAAACAGTAAATTTTAGGGGTTTTGCTGTCCCACACCCTGTCAAACTACTCAGCTCTGTTGTGATAGCACACTTACTCCAGTCTGTCCCTGTAACTGCAAGACTAAAAGCACTGTAGAGAATAGATAAGGAGGTGGGTATTTTGAGTGTACCAATAAAGCCTTATTTACATAAGCAGTCTATGATTTGGAAGACCACACTTTGCTGACCCCTGAAGCTACACCAGGGTCAATTGGCCTTGGGTAAAAAGCCGGGGGAGAATTGTTAAGGACACTGTGTGTCCTGGGGCCACCTTGAGGAAAGTGTTGCTTCAGGAAACAGACAGGTGAGCTCCAGGTTAGGTCCCAGGATCCTTTTCATCTTAGTGCAGCTGTCAAATCCCCAGTGAAGAGCCCAGATGTCAAGGTGATGTCCCCTGATTCATTTTGTGGAGGCTTCCTGCTGCCCCCAACCTAGTGACCAGAGTCCTAACTCTGACCAGAGTCCTAACTCTGAGTTAGGTGCTGTCCTGACAACTGCGCCTGGCACCTGTCCTCACTACCTTCCTGCTCCCAGGTGTGCTACAGAACTGGGACCAGGGGGCACCAGGTGAGACACTTGCCTCAGACACAAGATTTAAAGGGACACAAGAAACTCAAGTTGCCAAGAGAGAATATTCGAGTGCAATACTTTTAAAACGGGAACAATGACCACTTTGTTTTTGGAAACAAGGTTTTCCTGTAACTGGCCTGGGATTGGAGGGGATGAGGAAAGGTTGTGTGGGACCCTATCTTTATTCAAAATTCCCAGACTTTGTTTCTGGATTCTGTGGCATTCAATTTGGGTTTTGAAAGGCTAGCCTTACAATGTTGGCCTTGATCATTGAGATTCTGGACCCCATCTTGAATGTGTGCAGTGGCTCACCCACAGCACCCAGGGCTAGACCTCCATCCACCTATTTGTGCTTTCACCCACCCCTGTAGCATGTCGCCATGCTCAGCCATTGGTTGAGATGGGGTCTTGTGACCTTTATGCCTCAGCTGGCCTGGAGCCTCATTCTTCACATCTCCACCTCCGAAGTAGCTAGGATTATAGGAGTGAGCCACCCTGGCCCCACTCTGCTCTTATTCAGACATGGTGCTGCCCTGGGCAAGGCTGGCTGGCCCTGCCCAGCTTGTTTTTTTCTACAATAGAGGCCATTAGAATCACAAATCTGGGTGGGTGGTGACAGAACAATCCTAAAGAAACCACCCTTAAATATTTAACCAACAAAGGTTGTGCGGTCAGCACACGGATGATTTGACACACATGCATATGTGACATCACAGTAATCACCACTGTCACCCCTCCGGCTGAACCTCCCACCCAGAACTTGTTCATCTCAAGGCTGAAGTCGGCGCCCTTTGCCCAACATCTCAGATAAAATCTACTGTTTTAAAACAACAAAAACGCAAGTTGGTTGCCTCCATGTCCTTCCCCCATCTTTTTTTAGGGGCTGGAGAATAGCAAGAGTGAGTACTGTGGCTTTGTGATCCTCAAGGATCATGGCTCTGTCTACCCTCTCCCCCACCCCACATCTTCAACATAGGCTCCAGGGTGGCAGCATGAGCTCAAGGGAGTACAGAAGGGTGCTCCCCCCCCTTAACACCACACACTTGATGTCTGCTCACTTCCCCATCAGTCACACAGCCACAGTGCTGCAAAGGACACCGGGAGGCAGCTTCCTGTGGGGTGGGCTGTGCCCAGTTAAAACCTGGAAGGAGGCACCAGCCCCATGAGTGCTGTCTGTCCTCTCCTTGCAGAGGTGCACATATGGGGAGCACAGGGAGCCACTAGCACCCAAACACATCCCCTGCATGAATTCACTCAGACTTCAGGATAACAGGCATCTGCCTTCATCCTTATGAGGAAAATCTTCAGACATGAGCTGCTCAGAGTCACATGGCTGAAACCCATCTGGAATCCATGGACACCAGTGCCCGAGGTCGCTTCTATAGACTACAGTGTTTTCCACTAGCAAAGGGGTGAATCAGGGGAGGAACCCTTTGGGTTCTAAGTGTTGAGACAGGACAAGGTCTTTTTTGCAAGAATGGCGAAGTCTTCAGTTAGATGGGAACAAACTCACATATGGTCACTGTGAGATGATGGGGAAGAGCCCTGGGCTGTCGGCATGCTGGAGCAAGTCCTGCAGGAATGGCTGGCATTGGAGTCCCTGCTATAGGCACAGTCCAGCTCTGCCTGCTAAGTAATGCTGAGCCCTTAGTGATGACCTCACCTACGCAAGCAGCCACCTAAGTGTGGGCAAAGCCACTTTCAGGAGACAATCTTGTTATCTCCAAATGCAGCTCATGATAGTTCAATAAAGATGGAAATGAAGGAGTGACAGGTAGAGAGGCCCACCTGCTGTCAAGCAGCTAGTCAGGATCAGAACCCGTGTTGAATACCCCACACCACTGCTTCCTCTTTAAGACAGAGCTCGCCATTATTTTTGAGTCATGGACCCTTTGGCAGTCCAGTGGGGTCCATGTATCCTCCCACTCCACCCCCACCCCAAAGCAAGACAAAATGCATGATTTGCAAAGGAAAATAACTACTGTAACAAAATTGTTAGCAAAGTGTTTTAGTGATGTGCGTTTTATTAACACACTCAGCAAGCTCTGGAAGATGTAAGCAGCCACGCTCATTTTGAGGTAGTGAGGATTGTGAGTGGCATTTCATGAGGTTATCTGATGATAACCTCATGAAGATACCGGATTTCTCTTGTTGACTGAATCATAGGACCTGCCAATGTCAGCGTGACTCGAGGTCTAAATGCAAAATTGACTGAAATGCTTGGTTTGAGGAAAAGGCTAGTGAAAATATTCACTTCTTTGTCCAAGTCTCCAGTCCCCCTGAATTTCATCCAGGGTCTTGACTTCACATTAAAAAAATCCTTCACAAAAATAGGGCTGGTGGAGTGGCTCAACTGGTAAGAGCACCTTCCTAGCAAGCATTGAGGCCCTGAGTTCAAACCCCAGTGCCTCCAACAACAAAAAAGGAATGGTTCATCCATATGTGTTGACATGAGACTGAAGGTCAGTTAAGTGAAAAAGAAAAAGACAGCGGCCTAAC